CTTGTCCCCTGTAGGCAGAAAACGAGTCTTTGCAAGAACTGTTTGATCTCGCTTGGGAATTGGAAGTGTGGCAGGTGGGGGGATGGAGAGGGAGAGAGATTTTCGTCATTCCCTCCACTCCTTGTGTAAGCTCACCCCAAACTCTGGTTTGTTTCTTAAAGAGAAGAAGGCATTCAAAGGATGAAGTGGGGCATTTGTAAGTGGCATGCTGAGAAAAGGGAGGAGGAAGTCCCATTGTCCTAAACTTTACCAGCCAGCAGTTGGAAGATCTGCCATGTTTGGTGGAAATCTGAGCTTCTGCAAACTACAAAACACTTCCAAGGTTGCAAAAACTAAATGTGCACTTCCATCAAACAGGCCAGTGAGGACTGGGAACCCTCAGGGATCATGAAATGTTGAGTGCCTGATGGAAAAGAACACAAAGGGAAGAGGGGGTGGAATAAACTGCCTGGTTGGCTGGCCGGGCCCAAATGTCAGCTTGTAACATGGGACCGCTCCCTATTTATTTTATTTATTCAATTTATATATCGCCCTATACCCGGAGGTCTCTGGGCGGTTCACAGAACAAGATCAAGGCATGCATCCCATGATTCCATCCTACACATACCATCTCACAAATCATGAAAGAAAACTTTCTGTTTTGATAATGCAATCACATTTTACACATTTCTGAAATCACACTGTGGTCCTCCATATTGGGTTTTTCTATGATGACCCGAATACCTCCCCACTCTGGTCTGGCTTACATAATAGTCTAAAGAAGAAGCCTAGTTTCATACAAACAAAGCAAAAGTAGGAACTGCTGAAAAGACAGCAGTCACTTTGCGATTCTTCTGGCTGTGCCGAGCGTTCCTGACATTTTTCGTTGCAAAATCATCAACCCCACCCCCCGTGCCTATTTCTCTGTCGAGGTCACAGAAAAACAAACGAACAGGTAGACAGCTTAACTATTCTTTGAAAAACCGGAGACCTGTTTAATATCTCTGTTGCATAACCTCATTGCATTTCTGGCTGACTGATTTGTACCGATAGCTAGACATGGCAGTGCTTCTGTGTATGCAAACCCTCCAAAGCAGCACTGGCATTCAGTGTCCCTGGGATCAGGGCCCTTTTAGGGTGCTTTGTACCACGCCTCTCTCCTCATGCCTTTGCACAAGTTTCTCTAGTGTTAGTACTCGAGAGAACATGTCACCTAGGGAATCATACCTCTCTGTCTCTGGAGAAACAAATCCTAGATTATCTGCACAAGCACACACTGTACGTTCCAGGAAAGGACCTGGGCTGGTGATTCACTGCTCAGAAGTCAGAGCACGTTCTGCTCTAACACTAGCTTCCGACTCCAGCAAACCTCACAAGGTCTTTGCAATACAAATATAAACACAGGGAAGCTTCCACTGATATCTTCAAGTGCGAGCTACATTACAACCAGCTTGTTCCCCAGCCTGATGGTTTTACTCTCATTCCACATCACTCCCCCAACAGTCACTCTTGGTGACTTGCAGATTGAACCCTCAGAATGAGATAAATAAAAGTGGGGGAGCAGTGCAAGCTCCAGGATTTGGGGTACCCTCTGACATGCTTTTAATGTTTAATAGGTTATTGTATTTTAGTGTTCTGTTGGAAGCCGCCCAGAGTGGCTGGGGAAACCCAGCCAGATGGGCAGGGTATAAATAATAAATTATTATATTTTTTTTTATTATTATTATTTATTATTATTATTACACCCTTCCCCTAACCAGGTTAGACCAGTGGTTCCCAACCTTCTTTTGGCCATGCCCCACCTAAAATCCTAATGCCCCCTCCCGTGACATAGAATTCTTATTTTCTTATTACAGTGGTACCTCGGGTTACATACGCTTCAGGTTACATACGCTTCAGGTTACAGACTCTGCTAACCCAGAAATAGTGCTTCAGGTTAAGAACTTTGCTTCAGGATAAGAACAGAAATTGTGCTCCGGCGGCACGGCGGCAGCAGGAGGCCCCATTAGCTAAAGTGGTGCTTCAGGTTAAGAACAGTTTCAGGTTAAGTACGGACCTCCGGAACGAATTAAGTACTTAACCCGAGGTACCACTGTATTCAAAAAGTGAACTATTCACGTACAGGAAACCTAAAAGGCCATTTACTGCTAATAACTCATTCTTGAATTGTCCCTCCCTTAAAAATCAAATTGCCCCCCGTGGAACATATGCCCCATGTTGGAAACCACAGGGTTAGACATACAAACTGACAATTCTATTTAGTTGCACCTGCTCTTCTTGGGGTTTTCTGCAGGAAGTGGCAACGGTAGCGCCATTATGTTAGTTTGCCTTCTGTTGGTTTGCGGATGCTGTCAAATGCCCACCCATGCCATCCTCTGGAGCTGGAGGATAGCAAACGTTCCTGCCTCCCATGGGGACATGGTGGGCAGCTGGATGAAACTTCTTGGAACTGTATGACATGGGCTATGAAAGAACCTGGTGCCAAGCATGAAGTTCAATACCTATTATTATTATTATTATTATTATTAGATTAAATTTATATACCGCCCTATACTTAGGGGTCTCAGGGCAGTTTTACTAGAAAGCTGGACCAAGAAAGGCAAGAGGTGGACGTTGTCTGCATAACGGCAGTATCCTTCCCTTTCAAAAATTGCAAATCAAAAGCAGAGTTGTTCATAGTAATCAGGCCTGCTTTAAATACATCAATACTTAAAAATAAAGTAGTTTACACGTCCCTTCCCCATCTGCTGATTTTGTTTTTATTTAGTAGGATTATTTGACATCATACTGCTTGCTGCCAGATGGTACAGTATGCTTTTCAAAGTGACCAAGCGAATATTTGTTAGGATGTTCCAGCATGCCTTTTCTTTTTTTCCCCAAACAGCTATCCCACCATGGTTCCAAAAATAGAGGCAACACTTTCTCCACTTGGACAAATAAAAAACGTTATTTGTGGCAACTTGTTTGGTTCTAATTTTTGCCTTAAAAAAAAAAAAGGATATTGTGAGAAAATAATTTCTGTTCTTATTTAGAGCTGCATTAAGGAAGCTTAATGACTTGGTCATGTCCCACGGGATTCTCTTCCGTCTTAAACAGCAGGTCCCTGTACAGTGGTACCTCGGGTTACATACGCTTCAGGTTACAGAATCTGCTAACCCAGAAATAGTGCTTCAGGTTAAGAACTTTGCTTCAGGATGAGAACAGAAATCGTGCTCCGGCGGCGTGGCGGCAGCAGGAGGCCCCATTAGCCAAAGTGGTGCTTCAGGTGAAGTACAGTTTCAGGTTAAGAACGGACCTCCGGAACGAAGTACCGTATTTTTTGCTCTATAAGACTCACTTTTTCCCTCCTAAAAAGTAAGGGGAAATGTGTGTGCATCTTATGGAGCGAATGCAGGCTGCGCAGCTATCCCAGAAGCCAGAACAGCAAGAGGGATTGCTGCTTTCACTGCACAGCAATCCCTCTTACTGTTCTGGCTTCTGAGATTCAGAATATTTTTTTTCTTGTTTTCCTCCTCCAAAAACTAGGTGCGTCTTATGGTCTGGTGCGTCTTATAGAGCGAAAAATACGGTACTTAACCCGAGGTACCACTGTACATTTTTTATCATCACCTTTATTTTTAAAAATGTGGTTGACATATCGAACAGGGAGCCATTGATTAACAGCTTCACTTACAAAGCCATCTCGGGTTTTAATTCAGCTGTTGGAGTGCAGATATTTAAGTCTGTGGCTGCTGGTAAACCTCTGAACTCTGGTTCTGTTTAAAGATTGTTTGGCCAACAAATAATGCATATATTTCTCAATCAAAAGTCTGTTCATCAATTAAGGGTTATGTTCCCAGACTTCTATTTTTCCTGCAATATCATGGATGTCATTTAGGTATTTTAATTGTGGACTGTACAACTGCAGCCTTCAACTGGTGAATCCTGTTTTCGAAATCTAAGTTTCAGCTATGGGGATAATTATCTGAGGAAATTAACATAATATATGGAATTACTACTTCTGAACCCATCTTCAACCATACAGCTGGATTCAAAATGGCCAATTCAAAAGTCTATAAGGAACACACACACAAACACAAGATTTATTCTTAATTTCCAGTAAGGAAACCATCCATAGTGGCCTCCAAAGAAATTGATAACAGCAGCAAGCAGAAGAAGAGATGTCATTTTTATTGACAAAATATAACCATCAAACATAAACGACATCAGGAAAAGCTAGATGTTTGCATCATGAATTAGGCCTGAAAAGAGATTTGGGGCTGTGTACAAAACTCCAGCTCCACTTGCTCAACAGACCTCCATGCCCTTGACGGAAATTCCTTTCTCTCTCTTGTTCCCTGCAGCCCGTGTGTGGGACCTTCCAGAGCAGATTGGGAGGGGTGTACAAGGAAGGGGGAGGTGAGGAAATGGAGGACAATTATAGCAGAATTGAAGCATCCCCTTACTAATATTGGCTTTATAGATTCATCCGATGCTTCAAGCTGCCATGTGATACAGGAATTCTACAGCTGACATCGCGTGCAACACATGGTTCATTTTGTAACCTGCTTTTAATACATGACTAACCCATCAGATGTTTTTAAGCTGTTATTTTATCAGCCAAGTAAGGTAACCAACCTCCATTAACTGCCACCATTGCATCGCTGGCCCATCAGTCTGTAATACTTCCTAGAGAAAGGTTTTATTACGATGTATTTATTAAATAAGGATTTATTTATTTTTCCAAAAGGAAAAAATACATGTTCCAATTTTTGCAGCCGTCTGTTCCCATTTTTGAAAGCAGCCATTCCAAGCATGGAGGCAGGGATCCCAATGAGATATTGTGCATGTGCAAAGAGCCTTCAGGTGTGCAGGAGGAGCTGACGTACTTTTCCAACTGCAGCTCCTTGTGCAAAGTCGAATGTTTCTTCCGGACAGGTCCCTCAAGAGGTTTTTCAGTGGGTGCAAGGAGACGTGATGGGATGGGGGGGCCACTAAATGCCAGCACACCTGTGAAATGCAGAAACGCTTGCAAACGAAACCTAATTACGATCTTCCACGATATAGGACAGATCTAAAAGCAGACTGGCCGTCTCGATGGCGACTTGTAGGCCATTCCTTTTCGCCGCAAAGCAGTCCAGAACGGGATTGTCGGCGGAGGTTACGGAAGACTCGCCAATGCAACTTTGCGGGGGGAAAGGACCAGAACGGCACTGCAGAATCTTCCAATAGAGACCTTGCTGAGGGCCACAAAGGCCGCAGCCGCACCTCTGAACTACGTCAGACCAATCAGACCTGCTAGGAAGATCAGGTGGAACGCTCCAAAAATGTCCCCATTTCGTATCGGTGAGAACGTCGCCGCCGTCATGCTCTAGGCAGCAAGACACAGATTCTAGCGAGCCACAAAAGGAATCGGCCACCAACTGGAACTCTGCCCGAGAGCAGGACAAATTTTCCAAGGTGCTGCATGTCACGGCGCAACTCTAAAATAGGAAGGGGATGGGGTTGAGAAAACTATTTTCTAGTATGTTATGATTAAGATACAAAATAAAGATATTCAACTTGCAGAGCAATCCTATGCGTTGTTTACTTAGAGGTAAGTCTCGCTGTATTACTCTCAGGAAACTGAGCATAGGCTTACAGCCTCCATATAGGGTTAGAGCCAGAGAAAGCAAAGCAACGATAGCATTATTTTTAGAAAGCAAGTGTCTTAAATTAATATTTTGCCTGGAAAACAATGTTAATTACAATTCCACTCCTTTTATTTATTAGTAAATGTCACTGGGGTGGTTCCAGACTTAGTCATACTCAAAGTAAACCTAATGAAATCAATGGGAACTAAGTCTGTCATGACAGTTTAATGATTATTTATTCTTCCTCTTTCTGTATTATTTTAAATTTACAATTTACTCTGCGTATGATTAAGTCTGGATCCAAACTATTAAAGATCGTGTACTCAGCAGCAGGAGACTTAGGTGGTTTGCAATCTAACAAAACCACCTTCGCCATTGGGAGTGGCCACCGGGACCATATAACACCAGTCCTAAAGGTTCTTCATTGGCTCCCAGTGCGTTTCCGAGCACAATTCAAAGTGTTAGCATTGACCTTTAAAGCCCTAAGCGGCCTCGGCCCAGTATACCCGAAGGAGGGTCTCTACCCCCATCATTCAGCCTGGACACTGAGGTCCAGCTCCGAGGGCCTTCTGGCAGTTCCCTCACTGCAAGAAGTGAGGTTACAGGGAACTAGGCAGAGGGCCTTCTTGGTGGTGGCACCCGCCCTGTGGAACAACCTCCCATCAGATGTCAAGGAAATAAACAACCATCTGACTTTTAAAAGACATCTGAAGGCAGGCCTGTTTAGAGAAGTTTGTAATGTTTGATTTTTATCATGTTTTAATATTCTGTTGAGAGCTGCCCAGAGTGGCTGGGGAAACCCAGGGCAGGGTATAATAATAATAATAATAATAGCTACTACTCAGGGTTCATTCTGCATTATTATTATTAATGATCATCGTAATAATACAACTAATGGATTAATTTTATTACTCAGACTGCTTTCATACACTAAACATCAGATAAGTGATGAACAAATATCTCATTCCACAGTTTCAATTTATAGCAGGAAAAGAATTTTTCAAATAGCCATTTACGCAATACTGAAGAATGAACGAAATAGATAGGAGAGTAAATGAGGCTGAGGCCTTTCACTAGAATGCGCTGATCGGATAAGATTTTAAGAAGTGCTTGTGCATTTACTTTTTTTAAAAAAGAGCAATACAGGCTTGAGGATGCTATGGCTCAGACTGCTCAGTAACACAAGGGTATCTGTGATGCTTTGTAGTCCAGTCATGCTCATCGGAGAAGATATCTGCAAGGCGGGGGAGACCCTGCTTTTCTCTCTCGTCATTTTCCAGACCAAAATTACCCTTCCCAAGCAGGGCAGAGGTGGGGGAGGTTGTATGCCTTCCTCTCCCCCTGCCTCTCAACAGGGGATAAAAACAACTTGGGAAGGTTTTTGTGCTGGAGTTTTCTCCGTGTGGGAGGCAATTTTGAGCTGACAAGAGAATAAAGAAGGAAGGAGAGAGCATCTTCCTTCGCTTCACCCTTCCTGGGAACCCGCCCATGCTGTTTTGGATTTAAACAACATCAGCAGCGGCAGCAACAAAATCCCCAAACCATACAGGGTTTTAAGAATTGCAGGCATTTAGAGCCTCGGAAAGGTGTTTCACCTCCGCCAATAAACCAATAACCCTCAATGCTCTGAGCGGATTTAAGTGCATTAAACAGCTTTAAAAAGCCACGCGGATCTCAGCATACCTTGTGCCTTACGTAGGACGACAAATGAGTTTCTGTACAGCCGCCACCTAACAGTACCCAGGGGTCGGAGACAGTTAATTGCAAAACATGCTCCGCCGTTTGACAAGCCAGCTAGGAAAGAAGCAAAGGACTTCCTGTTGTTATTGTTCTTTAAGCCGAGGAAGAAAAATCCAGGTGAACTAAAGAAATGGTTTTAAAGTGGAGATCTCCTTATGCAACCCATCTAAAACAAAAAGCCATTCGCTCATTGTATCTGCATCTGCCACATTCCCTCAAGGAGCTCTGTGTAGCGGACATAAGGCTTATCCCATTCTGTCCACAGCAACCTTGTGAGCTGATCGAGGCTGCAAAGTCCTGACTCGCTCACGTCACCAGGATACTTTCATAGCTGAGCGGAGACTTGAACCCAAGACCAACCACAACCGGGAGGCAACACATTGGGGAAGGCCGATTTAGGCGAAAAGTCTCGCTCAGCTGCAGCTGATTTTGCTACCTATGCGAATTAGCTCAAGAGACCTCACTCGTAAACGCAATCCCGATAGCATAAGGAAGCCCCTCAACCTCAGCCCTCCAGATGTTTTTGGCCTACAACTCCCATGATCCTTAGCTAGCAGGACCAGTGGTCAGGGATGATGGGAACTGTAGTCTCAAAACATTTGGCGGGCAGAGGTTGAGGAAGCCTGGCATAAGGTCACTACTGCTTGCAAACTGCCTCCTTAGTTAGCGTAAGCAGTGGTGGACTGGCAGATTTCCACAAACTATTAATGATTCGTCCCCTCAATGCTTCTCCAAGAATAGGCATCACAGCCGATATTTAAAGAGATTACACCTACCCTCAGCTCCTCCCATGCAGTTTCGTTCCTGCTACAGAGCACCAAGCTGCAGACAACCGGGTCGTCAGGGATTAGATGCAAGAACCGTTTTGAAGCAAACGACTCGGCCCGCAAGTCCTTCAGGCGGCCATAGCAAGCAGGGGACAGAAATTGCAAAGAAGGCATCGGCTGAGAACCTGTTCAAACGAGGGGAAGTCACGGCATGGCATTATCTCACAAACATTGCGCGTAGCATTGAATGAAACCGAAGTGAACTCAGCATGTTTCAAAGGCAAAAGTATGAACGTGCCTTTTCTGCAGTGGCTCCCGATTTGCAGAATGTTCTCCCCAGGTAGGTTTGGCTGGTGCCTTCATGAGACACCTTGAGGTGCCAGGCAAAAACTTATTTCAAAATGTAGGGGCGGGCTCATATCTTTTTCTATAAAAGGTAAAGGTAAAGGTAAAGGGACCCCTGACTATTAGGTCCAGTCGTGACTGACTCTGGGGTTGCGGTGCTCACCTCGCTTTATTGGCCGAGGGAGCCGGCGTACAGCTTCCGAGTCATGTGGCCGCTTGTGGCGAACCAGAGCAGCGCACGGAAACGCTGTTTACCTTCCCGCCGGAGCGGTACCTATTTATCTACTTGCACTTTGACGTGCTTTCGAACTGCTAGGTTGGCAGGAGCAGGGACCGAGCAACGGGCGCTCACCCCATTGCAGGGATTCGAACCGCCGACCTTCTGATCGGCAAGTCCTAGGCTCTGTGGTTTAACCCACAGCGCCACCTGTGTCCCTATCATTTTCTATATGGTTCTCTAATTCTTATTCTTCTTCCCCTGGGTTCTAGCCCAGGGATGAGGAACTTCTGGCCGGGTGCATGCAGGCCCCCACCTCTATTATCTGACCCTCAGGACCTTCCCAGAGGTCATGCCCCCTTCTGCCAACCTCTCCCCAGGCCACCCACCTCATTTGTCCTGCATGGAACCCTCAGTGTTTTTGCCTCTAGCTGGGATGCATTTCTCTTCCCTCTTGGTTTTAATGCATCTAAGTGGGGTTTATTGCCTGGATTTTTTTGGTCTGGTTGTATGTTGCTTCGAGTTAGCGAGGGCTCCTGCTCGCCTGCGTAGAGGAGAGGAGTTTTTAGAAACTAGCCTGCTGTACAAAAGGTAACATTCACATTTGTTCCTCTGCCCACAAGGTTGCCCAGAGAGGGCTGGGCTGAAAAATGTTGCCATCAGTTATATGCGCCACCATGTGCCCTCTTAAGTCTAGACCAGTGGTTCCCAACCTTTTTTTGGCCATGCTCCAGCTAAGCATCTCTAAAATCCTGATGCTCCGCTCTCCCCATGACATAATTCTCATTATTCAAAAAGTGAACTCCTATTCACGTGGAGGAAGCCTAAATGTCCATTAACTTGGTCTAAACAAGCTTCCAAATTGCCACGCTTAAAAATCAAATTGCCCCTCTGTGGGGCGTGTGCCCCACGTTGGGAACCACGGGGCTAGACGTAGGTTTGCTACGTGAAAACTACCCCGCTGGCGAGTTCAGGTACAAAAGGGAAATGGGTAATGCAAGCAAGTTCTCTCGGAGGCTGAACGCCTGCTCACCTTTGATAGCCTAGCCAAATTCTACAAAAACTGGGTTGCATCATCACTATTTATTCTTATCGCTGTCTATTAAATTTATATACATCGTCGTAGTTGGGCTGCATCAGCAGAGCCAATGAAGAGCCACGTGCACCATTAGCTACATGCCATATATCTGAACGGCGCACCCTCATTAACGAACCAACCCATGGGGATGGAAAGTAGTGAATCGAAGAATTGTCACGAGTGAGAATACTGCTTATAGCATCACTCTTCCCCGAGAAGCACACCATGAACCTTTCAAGATCGAAAACTCTTTTTAAAGCCTTCATTTTGGCATTTTCACATGATTAAAGGTAAAGGTAAAGGGACCCCTGACCATTAGGTCCAGTCGTGACCGACTCTGGGGTTGCGGCGCTCATCTCGCTTTACTAGCCGAGGGAGCTGGCGTACAGCTTCCGGGTCATGTGGCCAGCATGACTAAGCCACTTCTGGCGAACCAGAGCAGTGCATGGAAACGCCGTTTACCTTCCCGCCGGAGCGGTACCTATTTATCTACTTGCACTTTGATGTGCTTTCGAACTGCTAGGTTGGCAGGAGCAGGGACTGAGCAACGGGAGCTCACCCCGTCACGGGGATTCGAACCGCTGACCTTCTGATTGACAAGCCCCAGGCTCAGGGGTTTAAACCACAGCACCACCCGCGTCCCCTTTCACATGATAAGAACAAAAATCTGCTTGTTACCTGTTATTTGCTTCAGCGGCTCCATCATTGCCGCCCCAACTCTTTCTACAGCCACAACATTTTTCTCCTTCAAGTACTGCTTCAAGGCTGGGTGGATAACTTTTTGGCACACCACAAGGCTCACACCATCGTCTACCATTTGCCTGCCTAAATTAAGCATCTGGCCTAAGACCTCCGCTTGCAGAAACACTCTTCGATGGACGAAGATGGTTCCTTCTCCCGTGTCGGACAAGTCTCCTGATAGGGACAGAGGGAAAAGCGCCATCTTGATTGCGCACGAAGGAGCCGTTCTGACGGGAAGCTCTGTGGTCAGATCCAAGTCGGGTGTTTCAATCAGAAGTCCAGGGTAGACCGCAGAATCCATAGCTCTCCTATCTTTCACAGGTATATAAAGACATTTCCCGAAGGCAATGCTGGTCTCCGTGTTTTGTGGGCTGATGGTCAACACAAAGGCCTTCAGCACCAGAGTGCTGATATGATCTACCTCGTTCCTGCTAAGCATGCAGGCCCGTTTGCTGGTCAGCACACTGCGCACCAACCTGAGAGGGATCTTGGAGCTGCCGAAATCCACCGGCACTCTACAGCCGCATGCTTCGGATGAGAGATAGTCAGTGCATAGGCTCAAAAGGTGCTGGCAGATTTTAATGGAAGTGCATGGAGCAACGTTCAAGGCTCGGATTTTTTCAAGCAGGCTGCAGCAGAGAATGGCCGTGAATAAGCCGCAGTCGCCGAAAAGCGAGAGGTGACTCTGCACGGAGGCTGTCAGAAGTTTTAGCACCGGGTGGGTGACGCAGAGGCCAGCAAGCAAAGCGGATGACTGCGATGTGGTGCGGACATATCCTCCCATACCATTGTGGAGCTGTTTAAACCTACCTGTGGGGCCATAGCAAGACTTGACTATTTCACTGAACACAGACAGAACACAGCTAATGGCTTCCTTAGTCAAAGGTTCGCTGGTACACAATGAGGGCTTTTTAGCATTGAGGCGAGACATTTTTCTCCCCCCAGGTAAGATTCCAGTCAGGACTTACTGCACCCCATATAGTTGCCTCTTCCTCCCAGTACTTATGGAAATGTTAAAAGGAAAAGAAGAAGAAGGATATGTTTCCGTTTCCACAAAGCACATTTAATCAACTATGGAGTCAATGACAACAAAATGCACACTTGCTATGCTAGCTACCAATGTGATGATGCAGAGATTGCATCATTCGTCAAGACCCTTTGATTTAATTTCCAAGCTTGTTTTAGCAGAGGACTTTGCGGCTCGTTGAATGAAATAGGTCCCAAGATGGACACCGACAAAAGACAGTCCAGCCACAAGGAGCCAGTTTTTCCGAATCCAGCTGATCTTCTTCATCTCTTTTGTTCACAGTCCGAAATTCATATGAACAAAGTGAAGTGTACCTACAGTTTTAGAAAAAGAGACGGGTGGTGAATGAGGCTGCCATTAGAGGCACAGTTACATATTTGTTGTAGATACAATATATTTCAATGAGACCTGCGGGCAAACAGCAGGCCAGCTCAGCAGAATATGAGATTATAGCATAATGTGCATTCAAACTGGTTAAAAGACCCTCACATGTCCTTCCCTGTATAATCGGTTATGCAAGCACAATGCAAAAATCCCGTGTTCTTTTAAAATGCTGGGAGAGAGAAACAGTAACCAAAGCAACCAACCAAGGAAACACCCTAATTTTGACTTGAGGGCTTCATTTCACCTATATTTTGGCGTACAAAGCAGAAATGTGACCGAAATAATCATGCATTTTCTCAGCTCACATTTTAGCAAGACAATTCACGCCAAACGGATCACTCTGCTTATTTTTTTAACACCATTGGGGCTCATTTAAAGTCCTATCATGTATTTGACAGGAGGCACATCATGTGATCTGGTATCCGATAACTCTGGCTGCACAAGCAAGGTGTGTGAAATATTGGAAACATCCTGTTTATGATAGGGAACTCCTAAAAAACGCCCCCAAACTAGTGTGAATCCTTAGACACAACATATCCCAGTGACAAGATGTTAGGGGGCACGGCTGAATGGTATAGACATTAACTGTCTTTTCAGGAGCCTGATATTTCATTTTCTTTTAAATGAAACAGAAAGCCTATTGACCTCCTGAATTTGAGGGGAATTATCAATTTAATACAGAGCTTGAAGAGGAAACTAGGAAAAGTGGAATTCTTCACTGTAAGTGTCGCATCCCTTCTTGGCCAACCAATTCTTTGTCTGTTCCCATATCCTACCCACATTGGTCTCCAACAGGTGCCCCATGAGTCCTTGGCAATGAAATTCTAAATTTGGGGGGGGGGGGGGAGAGCCAGAAGAAAAGAAGCCACAATCCACAACTTCCCACTACAGCCGAAACCCATAAAGCCAAACCTTCAGACCAAGGACCAACATCAGAATGCAACAGCAGACAGTGCAATGCAGCAGAAGGTTCCCAAAATCAACCCATGCACCCAAGCAGTACTACCAGCATGGCCACAAAGTTCAGACAATGCAGCTGCACACCTTTCCATCATGGCCCAACCAAACAAGGGAGCAGCAAGAGGACCCACAATGCATATAATCAGGTTTGCAGATGGGATCTGTGAATGTCATTGGCCATGGGTAGTTCTTGGTTGATGTCAAACTATGTGGCCTTCAAAACTTCATATGCTGGTGGAAAATAAAAGCCACAGTTGCCATGCCCGTCCCTGCAGGCGGGCAGGAAAGGGATCTCAGCCATTTGCGGGCGGCACCTTGCCATGGGCACTGAGATATGGAGGGCAGAACTGGAACCGTGGTGGTTCCTATACTTAGTCAATGGGAATTATAGGGACAGAACTACCTAAATTGTATAGAAATTTGTTCATGTATGCTACTACAGCAGCAAGAATGCTATTTGTCCAAAAGTGGAAAGAAGCAGAAGTCCCAGCAAAGCAAAGCAAGAATGGACACAAAAACTTATGGAATATGCAGAAATGGCGAAACTTGCCGGAAGAGTAAGAAATCAAGACAACAAACTTTTTATAAAAGAATGGAAATGGTTTATTGGATATTTACAGATAAATTGCAAACTGATAAAATCATTGGCAGGATTATCGTAATAACCTGCAGTTTCCTAAGAGTATATATTTAAAGCAGATAATTAAATGAATTTGGATATGCAGAAGATATTAAAAAAATAAATTGAAGGAACCACAGAAAGAGGGGGAAGGAAGTCAAACTTCGAAATGTTAAAATGATTGTAAAACTAATGAAATGTATAACCTTGAAAAGTATAAATAATTTTTAAAAAAGAAATACCCAGTCAATGGGCCTACTCTAAACAGGTCGAGTCTGGAATGAATTTATTGCGCCTGGGCAATTTAACTGCAATTCTTGAAGCAGCTGGAATGAATTTGCTATTCCTGGATTTGCTCTACCAGTGGCCAACTCTTGGCTGCCTTTACCCATTAGGCTTGTTTTCCTACTGGGAGCCGACAGCCACATCAGTCACACATCACCTTTGACCAATGCTGCAGGGTGGTTTGGGTGCTGCACTGGTGATTACGATTATTGTTGGGGTGGGAGTGTGTGATTTGGATCATTGCCGTAAGGATCTGACCTAATATGCTTAATTATTTGTTTGCTTTTGGAATTGGCCCAGCACCCCCTGCCTATGTTAAATGTTATGAGCCCATTCTTCATCACAACCAATCTCGGATCATGCCACAATTATGGGAGTCCACAGGAGGAGAGGAAGAGGGCAATGGGATCTTCTAAGCCTCAGCTTTCTTGTTGATATGAGGCAAAACACACATGCAATATTCTCATATTGCCAACTCCCCCTTTTAGTGTTCGACACTCTATTCCAGGCATAGGCAAACTCGGCCCTCCAGATGTTTTGGGACTACAACTCCTATCATCCCCAGCTAACAGGACCAGTGGTCAGGGATGATGGGAGTTGTAGTCCCAAAACATCTGGAGGGCCGAGTTTGCCTATGCCTGCTCTATTCTCATCCCCACCCCAATTCCTGCAGATATCATTACAATGCAATTAAAAGAAACACAATTGAAGAGCCCAATGAAGGTCTACAGCAGATTTAAAACCAAACCCTAAGACAATGTTTAAGACACACTTGTGCATAAAGACTGCATTTATGGTAATGCACTATAATCTGTCGGTATAAATTAGCCGAAGGACTGCACCATTGATGGCAAACCTCCCTTTTTTCTATGTTTACAGAAACGGCGGTTTTAATTTTTTTAAAAAACAACAACCTTAGTAATAATTATTGAAGCTTGCAGACAGGCGGGTTCAGAAAAATTAGGTTAGGCATGTGCTTCTATGCATTATGCATGGAGAACCGTATTTGCAGCAGCTCTGCAAAGGCAGCTGGTGAACCGCAGCTGGGATGCTTCACATTCATTACAGATCTGATCAGTGCCCGCATCCCATTTTGCCACCCTGTATGAAAATGTAAACTGATGAAAAATGTCACAGCAGATGAATTCAAGCAACCAGGAAAGCACATCTTAAAAAAGATAAACAGGCGGTGGCGTTGGGGGAATGGCTGCACCTTAAATTTAAAGCAGCAAATCCCATATTCAGACGTACGCCCCACAACCAAGATGAAATAAAAGCAAAAAGGAAAGCTCGGATTCTTAAAGAACCCAGTTGCCCACCGCTGATTTAAGTGCCGCTAATCCCGGTGCATTTTCCTGGGTCACGCAGCTGCCTGGTTTTCAGTTAGCAGGAAGAAAAATCAAACCAGGTTTTTACATTGAGTTTTTCCGAGAAAACAATTTTAGTCATGGAGCTGTACACAACAATGACATTGAAGGAATGAGTTTCCCATTCTAAAATCTGACTGTGCAGTCAGTCTGAAACGGGCCCCCAAATCCCATTTTTCCTTCTCCAAGGGTGCATTAGCTAAAAACCATTAACTTGAGCTCTTGAGCAAATGTATAACAAGAACACAGCTGTATAAACAAAGCTCTCTCCTTTATCAGTCCGTGACGCCTAATGAATGGCCTTGCCAGTTCCAAAGTGGAGCAGGGATGACACATCTGGGTCTTATCTTACATCCTGACCACAATAACACACAGACCTTGTCAGCCCCCCGGGAACGGCACTAGGAGTGCTCTTAGAGTTGGTGACCTTCTTACCCCAAGATAAGGAATACAGGAACAGGAACACCCTTTTATGGTCAAGAGTACAGGAGCAGGAACATCTGTGATGTCAACTTACGTGTATAAGCTTAGGTGTCTGGATTCCTGGGGAAGGGGGGAGAGGCTGCCTGGAGGATATGTATATTGTATGCAATTTCTCTTGCATTTGTGCTTGCTGTGAACCAATTCACGCAGTGCCTTCTGCTATCTGGAGAGCAGAATAAACTCTTTCTCTGAACCAAACCTCAGTGTCATTTGACTCCTTCCTCCCTGTTCTGAGAGCAACGCTCACCCTACCAATCAGTAAAGTCTAATAAGGCTACAACATTACTTAGCATTTATAGACCGCTGTCGGGTTTTCAAAGTGCTTCGCATTTTTGCTCTTTACAACAACCCTATAAGGTAGGGCCTGTGTAATTCTCTCAAGCCCCAGGGAGAACACCTTGCCTAGGACAACTTAGTGAGCTCAGGGCAGAGGTTAAATCTCAACCAAGGACTTCCTGGTTTGTAGCTCAGCCTCGTAGTTTCTATGCTATTAAGGGAAGTGGAGCAGATTTGCTTCCAAATATGCTTTCTAAACCCACCTCTCTTATTGACTGACTTTCAGCAATTGCTAGCGTAAAATCTGTGCCTGTCCTCGACAGGCAGAGCCAAGGAATGCCTATTATGGACCACTGCTGTTCTGGGCACAGGAAGAGGTCTGGATTGTAGAGATGCAGGGAAAGGGAATGATTACTATAATTTTGCTGCAATACAAGATTCTCTTTTATTTGCATTGCCTTAATGGTTTTGTTCTTGCTGCAGCAGGAACTTACCTTTCGATTTTTCTGCAGCACCGTTATTGGCTATTTTCCTTTACTTTTGCTGTCCTGTTGCAATACGTATGTCACAAGGCCAGGGTCAGGGACAGTGTCCTCAATCTTTGGCTGGAACATAGGATTGGATTTGATGTTATACCAGCCCCAGTGTATCAACACAAGGCTAGGTCCCATAACAATCAAAACTTTGTAGTTCTTCCAAATGCTTTTAATGCCCATAGCGTGTCTGGCTGCTACCTATGTAAAGAACAGGAAAATTTGAAATACGTTCTACTGAACACAATTTAAACACGCATGCACCCTCATACCCCAACAGTAATAATTGTGCAATCAAGCAAAGACTGAACATTTGCATTTGGGTAGCATGATCCTAATGATATTTTCTCAGAAATAAGCCCCACAAATATAAGGAGTACAGTCATACCTTGGTTGTCGAACGGAATCCGTTCCGGAAGTCCGTTCGACTTCTGAAAACATTTGACAACCAAGACGCAGCTTCTGATTGGCTGCAGGATCTTCCTGCATGCGTAAGCCACGTTGGACATTTGGCTTCCAAATAATGTTTGCAAACCGGAACACTCACTTCCGGCTTTGCAGCGTTTGGGAGCCAAAAGGTTAGAGTCCTAAGGCGTTCAGCTTCCAAGGTACGACTGTACTTGTTTCCAAGGACATGCCATCTAGCCATAATCTTATAGCAATTTTATTTTTGATTCATGTTTGGAGAAAACCTGTGCTCTTTCCCCCACACTTCCCTCCCTAAGTTCTGTGCCCATTAAATAATGAAATCCTTAACTACTTGCAGCACAAGATCAGAGTCTGGATAGCTCGGTTGGTTAGAGCATGGTGCTGATAATTCCAAGGTTGCAAGTTTGATCCCTGTATGAGACAGCTACAGATTGCTGAATTCTAGGGGGTTGGACTAGATGATCCTCAGGGTCCCTTCCAACTCCACAATTATATGATTCTATGTGGGGGTGCACTCTTAAAAATCCTGCACTTACCAACTGTGTGATATGCAGCAATATGTGAGAAGGCTTTCTCAACAAGAGAACAGTGATTATGGAATCTAGCTGGCCTTGGCCCTGGTAGGTTCTGGAGGTGTCTTCTGAACAGGGCTGGATTAAGCATTAAGCAAAATAATCACATGCTTAGGGTATCAAGGGAAGAGGGGCACCACAAAAAAATTCCATTGCTGGATTTACCATGGACCATATGGCGCAGCTGAACAAAAATAAACATTATTTATATGGAAAAATAAACATCATTTTCCATTTTACTGTAGGTTGTTTCATTTCGAAAAACAAAATTTTATTTTAGGGTTTATATTTTGAATTAGATATATATGAAGAGGAACCCAAATCTTTTAAGCGCTTAGGGCCTCTAAAGGTCTTAACCCAGCCCTGCATATGAAGATATTTTCGTTACCCAGGCATTGAGCTGATTTAAAGTCAATTTGTTTGGTAACTTGATTTGTATTTTTTGTTTGTTTCAAATAGGTACAATGACATTTCGGTTAGGTTTATTAAATGTATATATTGCTTTCCACGACAAAAAAATAAGAAAAAAAATGCCCTGAAGTGATTTGAAAACAAATTAAATACACAAAAAAAGAAACCACATAAGCATGTTAAAAAGAGAGTCAGAATAGAATGCTTTGTTCCCACCAATCCAAAGCTGAACACCAAACCACTGCAAACACCTGTATGCTCTGGCATGTTTTGTAAGTGCCCTAAATAAATAATCTCTTCCAAAGACCTAGCTATATCAATTCCCCTTTTTATTGGAGGAACTGGGTTCATATGTTGTTCTTTCTTTAACCTGATATGCAGGTAACTCAAGCAATTTATTCCCACATTAATTTTGTTTTGCTTACTGAAATTAAGAGTCTGTGTTTCTAAAAGTTCCAAGTTCATTTGTTCCCAAATACAGTGGTACCTCGGGTTACATACGCTTCAGGTTACAGACTCCGCTAACCCAGAAATATTACCTCGGGTTAAGAACTTTGCTTCAGGATGAGAACAGAAATTGTGCTCCGGCGGCACGGCAGCAGCAGGAGGCCCCATTAGCTAAAGTGGTGCTTCAGGTTAAGAACAATTTCAGGTTAAGAACAGACCTCTGGAACGAATTAAGTACTTAACCCGAGGTACCACTGTCCTTAATTTATTAAGAACTGTTTTAAGTGGCTGCCTTCTTATGCTCTTTTTCTTCGTTATTAATCTCCAGTACAAATTCGTTTTTCTGTTTTGCCTGTTCTTTTCTTTTCACGATAAGCACTGAGTGGGTTCAGAATGAGGAGATTTCACCCCTCCCATATCCAAGAATCTCCTGAGGAGTCTGCTGATTCTCCAGAGAGGAGGAGGCGTGTTCTGCTCTCTACTTATTCTGCTCCAGCACCGAGTCAGTCAGTCAGTCAGTGTCGGAGAGAGAGAGAGAGACTGAGTGTTAGAGATCGTGTTTAGAGATAAGGTTGCTGCTAAGAGCAGCTGCAGACACTCAGTGCAGTGCAGCATTCATTTATGCTTAGACCTATTTAGCTCTGTATATAGTTGTATAATAGTTGTAGATAGAATAAAGATATTCTACAGAGCTGCTCTCCGAGTTGTTTATATACTCTGCTAGAGTCTGCTGTACTCTGCTGTGCGACGACTGTCTTCTTGTGGAAGTGAATCCAGTGCTCACAACTCTAAGCTGTGAGTCCACAGCACTTTGACCTGTTCCTGTGCAGAAGGTGGTCTCTGGAAGTGCTACCCAGCTCGCCTAGCCCAGTCAGGGCTGAAGTGGATGAGTCCAGTTGGTGGCACTGGCTCAAGGGCGATGCTGACACAGAATACCTCTTAGAAATGCTTTGCTAGCATCCCACACTTGCTGTCTCTGGAGCATTATTAACAGGGAGGGGAATGCAATTCTTCACATATCCTGATTACTTCTGGGTTTGAGAGCAAGTGCACATTTGACTTCTGGGGGCAGGCAGTTCTTGCTCTAGTTGCAATAATTGCATGGAAGTATGACTGTGCTCTATATAGGTTGATGTTTCATGAAACCTCCAGAGCAGATTATGGGGTGGGTGCGGGGCAGAGTGGTGGAGGAGGAAGGGGGAAAAGCCAAAAGACCAGGATCCCCATAGCGCAAATGGATTTTTGATGCACAGGCAGGCAGACTTCATTGGATTCTGCCTACAACCTCTGTTACATGAATTCCAAGGTCTCAAATATAAAATAAATGTTCATAAATGTACACGGCAAACACATACATAAGTACAGTATATAAACCAGGCTTCCTCAACCTCGGCCCTCCAGATGTTTTGAGACTACAATTCCCATTATCGCTGACCACTGGTCCTGCTAGCTAGGGATCATGGGAGTTGTAGGCCAAAAACATCTGGAGGGCCGAGGTTGAAGAAGCCTGATATAAATCATGTGTTTGAAATAGTACAGTCATACCTTGGGTTGAAGTTGCTTCAGGTTGAGTGTTTTCGGGTTGCGCTCCACGGTGACCCAGAAGTAACAGAATGCATTACTTCCAGGGTTCTCCGCTCGTGTATGCGCAGACGGTCAAAATGACGTCACGCGCATGCGCAGAAGCGGCGAATCGCGACCCGCACAGGTTGTGTTCGCTTCAGGATGCGAACGGGGCTCCGGAACGGATCCCGTTCGTATCCAGAAGTACCACTGTACAGGAGAACAATCCTGAAGCCATTTTGACTCTCCCAAATTGACCTCCAATATTTCTCTGCAAGGAGGAAGGAAATGGGAAAAGCTTTCCAATTGTCTTTGGACTGTAGGGGCTTATACCTCCCTTATCTGTTAAACTGAGGAAACTATTTATTTTTACTGTTTGGCCTTCCAGAGCGTGTATTTTTGCTCTTAGAACTATCCTGGGCAGGACTCAATGCCCCATTCTGCTATCAGTATTTCCTAGTCTGAAAGATTAGACAGTCATAAAATTTAGGTTGGCCATCATTTGAGCATGTTTCCCTAGTGATCTGTTTACATTTAATAAAAGAAACTGCCTTTCAGGGGCTACCATTTGATTTTCCGCAGTCTGTTGCCGATTCTACAAGAATATCTCTGCAGGGCTGATTGTTCTGTGGGCTGCATATTCTCCTAGGCGTTTATTTTTAACAATTCTTCATTTCCTTATACAAGTGTGTGCGCGCTCCTTGAAAGCTTTCGTATTAGCTCTGACAATATATTTCTCTTTCTTCAGATTCGAGATCATTCTTACCTTTTAATTAAAATGGTAATGCCAGGGTTACACAACATGCTAAGAGGAAGGCACGCTTGGCAAACCCTCACCGTGATCAACTCCCACCTGCAAACCTATGCTCCCACTGTGGAATGATGTGTGGATCCAGAATTGGCCTCCAGAGTCACTTACGGACTCACTGTTAAAACCATGTTTATGGAAGACAATCTTACTTGGCTACAAGTGATCACCAAAGAAGAAGACAACTTCAGAATTCCACTAGAGGCTTCCATGATCACAAAGCTGTAGAGTTGGAAGGGACCCCAAGGGTCATCTAGAAACTATTTTTTTAAAAAAAGCAATAGATCTCTACACATAGAAAAGTGGTGCATCAGGGAAAAGATGAGGCTAGAATCTTTCCCTCGATGTCTAGTCTTCTATGCCAGGGTGGCCAACTCCCAAGAGACTGTGATCTACTCATGGAGTTAAAGACTGGTAGTGATATACCCCCTTTTGGGGGGTTCAGGTCAAAGTTGTTGAGCTTTTTGTAGGGAGGAGGAAAGCCCCTTTTTTGGGGGTGCAGAGCTTTTTTTAGGGGAGCCAAACTTGTTGAGCTTCTTTGGGGAGAGCCAGTGATCTACCACAGATGTCCAGTGATCTACAGGTAGATCACAATCTACCTGTTGGACGTGCCTGTTCTATGCTAAGGGAATATTTTAGCAGGAGCCAGTCCATCATCCTAAGGCACATTATTCATAGATATAAGCCTCATACATATGAGTATGCTAAATTGGTAAAGCTCAGGCACACCGTTATCATTTCAGTGAGAACTATGTTTAATCTGCAGACCCACCTCCCACGTGTTAAAGAGCATATATAGATTCAGTTTTTAACTGAACTAGTCTTTTGCTCCCATAAATGACCAGTCAAAGACATCTGACCCAATTCAGTTCGAGCTGCAGGCAGGATGAACAAAAAACCATAAACGATTTTTACAATTTCCCATCTTTTGTTCTTTTAAAATAAGCAAAATCTTCTTTTTAAAAAAACAAAACAAAAACAAACCCCCACATTATTTGGTTTAAAATGAAGTCGGCTTTTAATACAAGCCAACATGTTTTAAATGACACTGAAAATAAATCCGTGCTCCTCTGACAAACACCCTTTTGCTTTTCTACGTAGAAGAACAAACGGGAGGTGGGAGGGAGAATCTGAATTTAGGTCATATGGCTGTCAAACAAATGGCATGGACATTTAGGGCACAATCCACCTAGAGTTAAGACATTTTAAAGCCAGTTGACTTCAAATGAAGGTTTAGGTTTGTGCTCCTGTCCTAGATTGTGTAAATGCTCTGCTTCGTAGCAAACAAACATTATCTTCGTTACAGCAAACAGTAACATGTGTTATCTTGTTCAGAAAATATATGAATTAAATAGTTGAATTAAAGTCAGTATTTTAGGGTGGGGGTGGGGTTATATAATCCATCCTAGTGACATAAAAAGGAACGACATTTACTGCTTGCACAGTCACGTAGATGGAGTAAAAGTTCAGTTCTGCCCTACTGAAAGCAATGCAGTACAGATAGAACAGCTCTGCAGCTGAAGCTGTGTCCGATTTATGACGGTGGTTCCTGCTCCAGCAAGTGACATGCATGTGGAAGCCTCGCTCCCGAGGGTGGATCCCATTCTCTGAACTAGGGTGACAGTGTTTTGCACATGGCAAACTTTCCTGCCCAAGCAAAATGGCAAGCTGTTAGTCAAAATGGGCACGTGCAGCTGCCCTTAGTCAAAATAATCCCCTTTAAGGCCAAAATTAATTGGCAAGTGATGACAGGATTGTAGCTGGGGTCAGAATGGAGTACCTTGGAAAACAACATGGCTGGTTGGGTGGGTGGGAACCCTGATCAGAAGCATTTTATATTGCAATGTTTTGTTGCTGGTTCCACTTGTAAACTCATAATACCATAGCTTAAGAACACCAAACGCAGAAAAAAAGGGCTTGCAATACAGATGCCTGCATGATCATTAACTACACCCAAGTCTACATGACGGTCTATGGGATATCTAACAATCCGGGATAGCAGTGGGAAACGGCGCTGGAATAAGGGAATTTCCCACAAAAAAAGGGAAGGTTGACAGCTATGAACAAGAGCCTTCTGGATCAGGACAAAGGACCATTTAGTTCAACTTATTATTCTCAGAGTGATCAACCAGATGCTTGCAGTAAGCCCCAAAGCAGGATTTATATGCCTAATGGAAATGCAAAACAAATCAATTCTGGGTTTTGTTGTGACTGGTCATAGGTTATGAACTACAACGGGCAGAGAGAGACACTATTCAGGGCTCAGTTCTGTATGCTAGATTTGCATAAATATTACAAGCAATGACAGGTTTTAAAATTTAAGTCACACGAGCAAACTTCCAGTTCGATAAATTACAGTAGTTCATTTCGTAGACTTAGAAGGGACCATGATCTAGTCATCTAGTCCAATGGAACCCATGACCCTGAGATTAAGAGTCTCATGCTCTACCAACTGAGCATATTTGGATAGTTAAAATTCAAAATTTGGACTCCAATATTCAAGATCACAATGAGGATGACCCAACTTTTTACACTATGCAACGAGCTTCCTAGTTCTAAATGAGATGTTAAGCTGGTTTCTGGGCTACACAACACTCCAGATTGCATGTGGACGGACTTATTTCTGCCAACAAAATAACTTCCTGTTTAGAAACTAGCTTCTTACACAAGAAAGCTCCTCTCTGGCATGATCCTTTTTTACATTTGTGAAACAATAGCACTATTGTCAGCAGGTGGTGGTAATATGTCCTTTCCTCTGGTCTTGCAACACCCCCAAACCCCAAAATAAAGAAGACTTTCGTTACCCTCTCAGTGCACACATGGATAAATGGGGATTCTGCTGCTAAGGGCTTGAAAGTGGTTGAGTTATAGTGGTTGAAGTGCTGAACAAAAACTATCAAGACATGGGTTCGAATCCCTACTTGGTCATGAAGGTTGCTGGATGACCTTGGGCCAGTCACCTTCCCTACCTCTACCTCTCTTTTAAATCAGAGCCAGTGAAGACAGTGATTGTCTTGTTTGAGTGTCTGGAGGCGGTTGGAGGACGGATGGCGGCTAACAGACTGAGGTTGAATCCTGACAAGACAGAAGTACTGTTTTTGGGGGACAGGGGGAGGGCAGGTGTGGAGGACTCCCTGGTCCTGAATGGGGTATCCGTGCCCCTGAAGAACCAGGTGCACAGCCTGGGAGTCATTTTGGACTCACAACTGTCCATGAAGGCGCAGGTCAGTTCTGTGTCCAGGGCAGCTGTTTACCAGCTCCATCTGGTACGCAGGCTGAGACGTTACCTGCCTGCGGACTGTCTCGCCAGAGTGGTGCATGCTCTAGTTATCTCCTGCTTGGACTACTGCAGTGCGCTCTAGGTGGGGCTACCTTTGAAGGTGACCCGGAAACTACAACTAATCCAGAATGCGGCAGCTAGACTAGTGACTGGGAGCGGCCACTGAGACCACATAACACTGGTCCTGAAAGACCTACATTGGCTCCCAATACATTTCCGAGCACAATTCAAAGTGTTGGTGCTGACCTTTGAAGTCCTAAATGGCCTCAGCCCAGTACACCGAAAGGAGCATCTCCACCCCCATCATTCAGGCCAGACACTGAGGTACAGCTCAGAGGGCCTTCTGGCGGTTCCCTCCCTGCAAGAAGTGAGGTTACAGGGAACCAGGCAGAGGGCCTTCTCGGTGGTGGCGCCCTCCCATCAGATGTCAAGGAAATAAACAACTATCAATTTTGGGGTCTTCCTAAGAAAAAATTCAACAACTTTGCAGGTGTCAGGAATTTGAAATTAATTTTTCGTGTTTTCCAATTGCCCTTCTCCAGCATTTAGAATTTTTGAAAAAGGGGAGGAAGGGAAGAGTAAAAGTAGCCAAGTCTCTTATCTTCCTCTGCTGCTGAGAGAAGGTTAAATCTCCACAATTCAATGTCCCCCCCAGTAGTAGTAGTAGTAGTAGTAATAATAATAATAATAATAATAATAATAAATAACAGAGGGTTTCCTCCCCCTGCTGCTCCAGTACCTCTCTCTCTCTCTCTCTTGGACGGGCCAGCAAATATTCTCCAAACCTCTCAAGCTCCTCAGCTCTCCTCAAATGCACTTCAAGGAGAAATGAGACTACATATCCCGGGATACACCACGAACGCGAAGAGCTAGGCCGTCCACGGTAAGGGGCCCTCTGTGCATTCTGGGAGTTGTAGTGCGCATGTAGGAGGTAGACTAGGCCTCTCTCCCATGAAACCGGCAGGCCAATTGCCGGAGCGTGGGCTGTGACGAGCTATTGGCTGCCGCCCGTCACGTGGCCCCGTAGAAAAGGCCTTACGTAAGGAGGGAAAACGGAAGTAGTCGGCGGACATCTTTGAATGGGCCGGAAGACGTCGAGCTGAGAGCAACCGTCCTCGTTTCCTATTCGCGAATCGGCCCTTTTCAACCGGGCGGGGGATCCCAAGGGCCGAGTTCTGCTGCTCGCGCGCCACATTTCCGAGTCGTTTTCGAAGCGAGAGAGAGTGGCAAGGTCGACAAACGGCGCGTTATAGAGAAGCAACAGAAAAGCCGCTTAAATGTTTTGGGGCTGGAAGCAAAGTGCAAGGCTCAAGTGGAGCTGAGAAAGAGCGCCTCGCGGTGTCGTCCGTTCCATTCCCACCCACCCACTCCGAACACAGCCGGAAGTTTCGTGCGCTAGCCTCGCCTCTCTTTCCCTCTAAGGAAAAAAAGGCGGTGGAGGAGCCGAATTCAAGGTTGCCGCGGTGAGTTACTGCGGGGAAAAGCAGAGAGGGAAGCTGCTACCCGGAATCAGGGGCTCAGCTGGGGGTTTGGACAGCTCATAGTGGAATTTCCTCTGTTTCCCCTTGGTGCCTCTTGTTTTGGAGCCTTTTGCACCAAGGTGTGCCGCTTTATGCCCCTGGGTTAGATTCCTAGAATTGCAGAGTTGGGACACCCGATGGTCATCTAGTCCAACCCCCTCTGCCAGCCAGGAATCTTTATTTTATTTTTATTTTTTTGCTCGAACCCACTACAGTACCCTGAAATGGAGAGTCTCCCACCGAACCATCCCGCTGCCTTCATTTCTACAGCACTCGAACCTTAAGCATTTTTAAATTTTATTTATTTGGTTTTTCAGATTAACATTTCACAGTCGCATGCCCAACATACAACATAAAAACAAGATTCCAAAGAATCTCCTGGACTTCCCTCCTCCCCTTTGTGGGTCCTATTGTTAATCGTTTTCCCCTGCATCTTTTATGATAATCCAAATCTTTTACCTCTCCGTTGTATCCAAAATTCACCATTAAACTACAAGTGTTATTCCAATCCTACTAACGATTTTAACTGTTTACAATGGTTATTAAGATAAGTTATAAATTTTCCCCATTCCTTATTAAAATTTTGGTCTTCCTGATTTCTGATTCTTCCAGTCATTTTAGGCATTTCGGCATAATCCATCAATTTGATCTCCCATTCTTCTTCTCTTCTTTCCATCTCTGGGCCAATAATCTCTGTGCAGCTATGATCGCATACATAAATAATATTTTCTGCTCTCTTGGGATTTTGGCACCTCAGAGATCCAGGGATTATTGGCCCGGACTGCAATCCTATTACCATAGTCCTCTGTGCTCCACTGGGATTTCATTGGAGGTAATAATTCGGCATTGCATTCTCTGCTTTAGTAGCTTTGTACAGAGCAAATGAACGTTAATACATTTTTCAGAGAAGAACTTTCTCACGTATGTTCAGGGGGTGAGATGAACTTGGACCCAGAATGTGTCCCTCCAGGTGTGGTTGGACTCTTAACTCCCATCAGCCCAAGCTATTATGGAAAGTGGTCAGGAATGATGGGATTTGTAGTCCAGCAAAAATGTTCCTTAAGCTCCCTGCCCCTGGCTTAGTCTGTGATTCTTGATGTGAAAATAGGGATGCTCAGAAGTGTTCGGAAAATGATTCACAGATGGTATTTAACTCTGAGTAGGCTTGCTAAGATGTGCAAGACAGAATCAGATAAGTGCTGGAGATGTAAAGAGGCAGAGGGAACGTTCTTTCATATGTGGTGGACCTGTAAAAGGGTAAAAGAGTATTGGGAAATGATTCATAATGAATTGAAAAAAATGTTCAAAAGTACTCCCCCCCCCCCCAAACCAAAGTCCTTTCTGCTGGGGTAATTCTGACTGAAATTCTCAGGCGTCAAAAAAGGTTATTTATGTTTGCCAGCACTGCGTCCTGTTAGCCCAAAAATGAAAAACGAGCGAGGCCCCAACCAAAGGAGATTGACAACTTAAATTGACAAAATATGCACAACTTGCAGTCTTAACAAATAGAATAAGAGGAACAAGATGAACATATGTTTAAAAAAGATTGGAAAAGTGTTTATTGAATATATGGGAAATAAGTATATACAGCCGAAAACACTGGCAGCATTAAGATAAATTCAACAGTGTAAACAAGTTTTGATGGATTAATGGAATACTGAATGGTATAGTTTTTGTAAAATATGCAGGGATCTGTGATATGTAAAATGAAGCATGGAAAGAGAAGAAGGGAAGTCATTGGTATTTTAAGGATGAAAAATGAGTGTTTTAAATTGTAAAACAGAAAATTTAATAAAAGTTATATATATTAGAAAACAGACGTGTTTGGAATTAGCATTTTGCACCAGCCTATCAGCAACTTGCAAACAAGTGATGATGCCTGGGTGCCAAGATGGTGCCTGACATCTCTACCATCTGGAGTTGCATGCCTGGGAATCCTTGGATCTTGACTGTTTTCACACCCTAATACCCCACCCTGTAGAATTCTCTCTGTTATATTTTATCTGCACAATCGTAATGAATTTCAGTAACCAAAATGCTTTTTCTGTGGAGCCTGAGCAGGAGCAGCAAACAACATTATACAGTGGTACCTCAGGTTACATACGCTTCAGGTTACATACGCTTCAGGTTACAAACTCCGGTAACCCAGAAATAGTGCTTCAGGTTAAGAACTTTACTTCAGGATGAGAACAGAAATCGTGCTCTGGCGGCAGCGGGAAACCCCATTAGCTAAAGTGGTGCTTCAGGTTAAGAACAGTTTCAGGTTAAGAACGGACCTGCGGAACAAATTAAGTACTTAACCTGAGGTACCACTGTAGTTAAATGTCACTTGTCTTCACTTACCCCTCACCCCATTGCTCTGCTCACAGCTGTGAAGAATATTCCTCTGTTATTAATTGTCTGTGTCACCATCAAAAAAGAGAGAGAGAGGAAGGGAGGAATAAGCCAATATATATGTGGACTGTCCCTGGATAGAGTGACTTTTCTTTATCCTTTGCTGTCTCTGCAGTAATAATTTCTTTGGACACTAGATGTTGCTGTTGTATTATAAGTTTGAGGTGGATGAAGAATTTTGGGAGTGTTTCTGTTGTTGCACTGTATTTTTTTCTAATTGAGTGTTGCTGCTGTTACGTATATTTGCTATTGCATCAGCTTGTGTTACTTGTTTATCATATTTTCAGTGGTGCGCCATTTTTGTTGTGCTATAAAATAATTATTAATGGCCTTTGGCTGAGAAAAACAGAAGTTCATGATAAGGACAGCACAAGCAGTCAGGTTTTCTTCTAGCTTGATATGAAACTGTGCAGAATTGAAAAGCAGAAGGTTATAGAGGGATTTAATGTTGACCCACCAGAATATTCCCATGCGCTCAGAAGCAGGGTAAGGTCATTGCACCATCATAAGTCTTCGGTCTTTCATTGTTGAGTCACTACAAGCGGCTAAGCGCTTTGCAGTTAAATGTGGCTTGCCTGCAGGCCTGCAATCAGAAAGAAACAGGGCATTACAATACAGTGGTACCTCGGGTTGAGTACTTAATTTGTTCCGGAGGTCCGTACTTAACCTGAAACTGTTCTTAACCTGAAGCACCACTTTAGCTAATGGGGCCTCCTGCTGCTGCTGCGCCGCCAGAGCACGATTTCTGTTCTTATCCTGAAGCAAAGTTCTTAACCTGAAGCACTATTTCTGGGTTACCGGAGTTTGTAACCTGAAGCGTATGTAACCTGAAGCATATGTAACCTGAGGTACCACTGTATAGGGAAGAGGAAGGATTGCAAAGAAGTAATTTACAAATAAAGAACTGCACGCAATTGACCTCTTGGAATGATAGAACCTGCTTGCGGTGCTGGTGGGATTGCACCAAATTTGTCCAGGGGGGATGAGGAGTTCTTTGACAGTCTCATGGCTGTGGGACGCTCGCCATTAGCAGTGACAGTAGAACAACTTCCTTTCTTTCTCTTCTTCTCATTTTTTGTTTATTTGTTTTTGCATTTGTGGATCATGTGATGTGAACACACCTGTATCTATTAGCATCCTTGCCCACAGCAGACAAGCATATCATGGGGAAGAGATTTAGCTTAGACTTCCCCATTAATTGCTAGCTTTCTACATGTGGGGGTTTGTTTTCTTCTGCAGATGTTCAGTCCTGTGAGTCTTTAGCTGCAGTCTCAGGTGGTACAGCCCTGGCACAGAAGGAGAGAACGAGACCTCAAAGGCCACCTCTCTCCGCAGGAATTTGGGTGGATCCTGAGATGATCCTCTGAGCACCTCCTCCACGAAAGGTCCTGAGTTTGGCAGCATAGGAACAAGTGTGGAATGCACACCTTTGGTCGAAAATGTTCTGCTTCAACCAGGCCTTGGGCTGAGTAACGTCTGATACCCTTTTAAATGTGTTGTGGGAATAGGGATTTTTGTTCTTGTATTTATTGTGTATTCTCTGTTTTATCTTGTATTTTTATGTGGCAAACCGCCCTGATATCTATGGATGAAGGGCCCGTATACAAATTTTAATAATAATTGTCATAAAATAGTTTGGCTCCAACCACCTAAAATACAGTGGTACCTCTGGTTCCTAACGGGATCCGTTCCAGAGCCCCGTTCGCAACATGAGCAGAACGCAACCCGCATCTGCGTGTGCGCAGGTCACGATTCACCGCTTATGCGCATGCGCGTGACAGCATTTTGAGCATCTGCGCATGCGCAAGCAGCAAAACCCAGAAGTAACCCTTTCCAGTACTTCCGGGTCACCGTGGGACGCAACCTGAAAAGATTTAACCTGAAGCAAACGTAACAAGAGGTATGACTGTAGATTGGCTCCCAGTTGTAACTACTCTGTTTCTCTAGGGTTATGGGTTATGCCCCATTCTATCCCCGTTCCACCCTACCCACCCCCCATTCCACCCCTTT